AAGGACAACAGAAATGTTCCGTCTGGCACATCCAACAGATATACTTCGTGGGCAGCATATTTAGTAATAATTTTTTTACATAACAATTATCACTGTTTTGATACACATCCAGACCGACACACACAATCATCCAGATGCGATTTTGGTACTCAACCAATTTACTATCTGTCACATCTTCTCGGAGATATACTGTACAAACTAGTTGGGATTCTTCAACCAACAAAGCATACTGGGGAATCTGTGTGAGGAACTGACTTGCATCATGGTTATTGAGCGTGTCGTTGAGTCATTCCTCCATAAATGGAGCCATGGAGCCATTGCTGAGGCTTCCAGCACTCATAGTGACCAAACGCCGAATGAACTATTTGCACACTAGGAACCATCTAGTCAGCAAGTTGCCATTTTGTCTATTTTTTTCACATCATATAGGTTTTTTACGCAATAACCCTGCGACTCAAAATAAAGCGAAAGCCTTCGGCTTTCGCACTACCTCAATTTTAATTATCCACCAGACTTAAGGAGCAAACCGTATAACGAAATCATTTCTTAAACTTTCATAAGGCAGCAGCCGTTATTGGTGAAACGCATGTTCCGGAAATCTACTTTTTATATCCAAACATCCCATAATGGCGTTTTAGGATAATAATAATGATAAATACCTCTTTCATCCCCACAACAAAGAAGGATTATAATCTGCCTAATGAGGTATAATACTAATGGATATCCTTGCCCCCTGTGAAGCCAAAAATCTGACTAAGCTAACGATTGTGGTTTTGTGGCTATTGTTGTGCTGTCATCGTTTTCTTAAACGGGACTTTCCAGATTTGCGTTTGTGGACAGTTGAACACGCCGGTCAGACTTTGGAGATTATACAGGACGTAATACAGCGCGAGTGTTCAAGCCTTACGATCTCTTTAGAAGTTTTCAGTTGCCACATTGCCAGAGCTGGTGCTAGATTCTTCATGTGACTTTACTACAGGAGGAAATCCGAACATGTCAATTCCGTTTACCTAGCGTAGCAGAATGAGATAATTACACACTATTTTGTAATTGTTGGCATTCAACAAAATAATGGGTTCGTTATGGTGAACGATTCCAATAAAAAATATTAAATAGATCGTAGATACATGGAGCAAGACGAAAAGACAAACGCAGGGAAATAATTTCGAAGAATAACATTAAAATGGAAAGTATAAAGTGTTAAAGCTTATTATTTTCTCTCTCAAAATAGGTACGGCTAGGTTATGCCAGAAGTGTCTCAAGTGATCACACTCTTGATTATATTTATTTATTCCCATTTTTTTTTTGAGAATATCTCTCAAACCGTCTACTTTATGAGAAAAAGTGATCTACTGATTTCAAAATTATAGCTGAAATTACATACATATATACGTCTTGTAGTTGTACTATTTATTCTGTGCAAAACACGAGATCTCATGTGCAGCTTTGAAACCTGTATATACCTACTTATATTAAGAGCAGAACGAGTGTCAGTTTTCCACTTAGAATTTATGGAATACTTATTTATTGAGATATAATATAGCATCATTAAGCTTTCCAGGAACACCCAAATTGAAATGATAATGCATTAAAACTGATTTCAAAAATTAAATTTACATCGCACATAGAAATATCCACAACGCAGTAAATCATTTTGCAGTAATTTGCTTATTATCTCAATACATAAAGTTTTTCACTGACAATTATGATCATGTTTGTCCACTACTGGGAGACTTCGATCGTTATTCAGCGTAACCCAAAAATAGCACAATTGCAAACTATCATACATTCCAACGCTTCCATCCAAAATCTAAAAATCAGAGGGATATGTTGATATACATACGTTATAAATTCTAATAATATCTCTTTCGATATAGATTTCAAGAAAGTCATGGTCTTCGAAATTTAGAAAAAGAATAATTATGTTCCACTTGAACGATATCATTAAAACGTGTCATTTTTTCATGTGGAATGAGGATTGATTTTTATGATTAGTATTATTAACCAACACCATGCCAAATTTGATTTGAATTCACCGATGATTTCAGAAACTGTCTAAGTGTTGTACTAAAAGCTCTATATAACACTCTAATATGGTTTATATTTTTTTTATTGCTGTGGAATATGCCTCTGCTAAATGTACACTTATGTATAATGCAACAAAACCTCGTAAACATATAACCAATCAACCAACTGTGCATGTGATGACACTTTTTGTCCTTAACCAAACACTTGAACATACGATACAAATCATCTCAAGTCTAGAGTATTTGAAGAAAATGCGATGAGGTCCTGAGTCGAGTAATACTTTCCTGATGTGACTCTCTTGATGACAAAGTCCTTAAACGAGTGTTGAAAAAACAAAAGGCTCTTTCATCAGCGTTGAGCGCCCCTATATGTGCTCTACTAAAAAGCTTCAAGTGTTTATGAGCTCTTTATTAATACACTGAATTGTCAATAGGGGGAGGACCGCTTATTGCTTTATTGTTAGTGCTAACTATGTAATGTACAATTCGATTAAATGCTTTTAGATAAAAGCCTTGGAGGCAGAAGAAATGTTAACTGATATTTTTCATATAACGTTTTTATTGTTTGCATAATTATATTTAGGCATATTAGGCAGCAGCGGTGGCCGCGGTGGTAGACGCTTCGCTGCGCGGGTTCGAACCCCGTCCCAAGAGAAATTTTTCCCTTGGCTATGGAGTTTGTGATTGTACGTCGGTGATAGACGGTCACTGACTGTCGAAGAATGTGTGCATGCAACATGCACACATGTTCCCTCGCCAGAGTCCGTGTGGCGTCCCCTCTTCCCCCTGTATCCCCCTCTAGCCCCACGGTACCCCATGGGTATTTAGGCCTTGGGCCTTCGTGATAGTTGGAGTACAAAAAAATAACCTCTGTAACTGCTCACTACATCTACTATTATATCTTAAGTATTCCACAGGCCAACTAGATATCGTTATTGACATTATAAATTCTTACAAAGTGTCATTATCACTGGCTGATGATTTTTTCCAAAAGACAAGTTGCGGTATTTTGATTAACGGAGGAACATCGGAATCGCCATCAATGTTTTCTAATACTGAAGGCAAGGCATGCTGGAGTAGCATGAAGCTAAACATGCAATTAATTACTTATTGATAATTACACCAAATATGCAGTTCTCAGCGGATAGCACAAAAAGGTACATACACGACGCGTAGCTATCCGTTTCACAATAAGATTGATTATTGACATCATTAGGAGCATGAGTTCCTATAATATAAGCTATTAAATTTAGAAAGGTATGGTACCCTGTACCATGTACACCTATTTCTTCCAGCATTCACTGTTATATACTCGTATGTGACAAAGTACGCCCAAATATGTCGTTCTCGTATCCCCTCAGCAGTTAATCCATATCTACCAGGTAATAAATGTGTTGATCATGGCACATTGTTTACTGTATGTAATTTATCATTTGTCTGACAGTCGATTAGTATGCATACATTGGAATTTGTAATTTCATTTTATTTCCATGGGTTTGGTACCAGACAATGTTTACTGTTATATAGAAGTAAATCATTAAGTAAGATCGGTAAGTCTCATGGCTGCCAGGGATTGACAAAATAAAATGAAAATAGTTACAAAGTTCAGTAAATACATATCACTATTTTTAATTCTATGATGCTAAGCATTTTTCTGTACATTAACCCCTCAAAAACTATTTTCACAAGCATGCGTCAACTTTAGAATACCGAAAACTAAGGCGAAATATCTGTTTTGGGAGGCTTTGAAGCACTGCAGTCAAGAAACATGTATTTTCACCTGTAAAATCTGTTTCGCTATTGTTTCAAGTATTAATGTCCATATTTTAACTTTGTTTGCGCTTGGTAACAGATAGGCTACAATTATTTTATTCCACTACTGCAGCTCACGAGTAGATACCTACTTGGGTTTAATATCTGTTTACGATATGTTTGCAAATACAGTCATGCAAAATATATCTAGACACATAAGAATAACTACTAGGGATCTTCTTTCGGCAAAAAAAGTCATACACAAAAAACAAAAAATAAGGTATTCAATGTACGGATCAGGTTTTGGAGAGCAAAAAATACATATACTTAATGCTTTTACATTGAGGTAACACACTACAATTGTAGAGCACCTATATTTGATTCAATTTTGAGAGTGCTTTATTACTAAACAGGAACAAATTCCAGCATTAAGATGGTATAATTCTATAAGCTTTTTACTCTTGGTCAGGCTTTTGGTAGTAAGGTGCTATTACTATTAGTACTATTGCTGGACTAGAAAATGTATTATTTACAAAAGTAAAGTGAAACGACACAAATATGGCCAATTGTGGCTTTTGGGCATTGGAAGTCCCTAATAGTTTAGCAACTTTAGAGCGAATTTTGGGAAAACGAAAAGAAATACAAATTCTCGTTATTTTTCTGTCATATTTTTCGAGCTCGTAGTCGGTTTTGGGCTGACAAAAAGTATCTCTTAATGGACAAACATAAAATACGATATTTGTTTATATTTTATAATCCACAGAGCTTTGCAAACTCACTATGTAGACAGTAAAGCTTCCTTGTGACATTTATTTTTTACTTAGATCAAGGGTCGTCAATACTAGGCCCGGCTTCCTACTTGCGACCCGCGACTTTATTGCCTCTGAGTAACTAAATAAATAATTAATTATTATATTTACTTACCTAAAATGTATATAAAAATTGTTTACCTATATTTGTTGTTTCCTTATTGTTCCTCAATTTTTATAAATAGAGTAGGTATAATAATTCATTTTTAATTCTACATTAGTGGCCCTCTTTTTATTTATTTTGCTACCTTGTGGCGCTTGACTTTTAAAGGTTGCCGACCACTGATTTATTCTTGGGCCTAAGTGAAGTATCTTATGTACACCCTTCTTGTTTACTTAAAGATTATTTTTCTTTTACATCACCATAACACTATCTACAGTTAACATAACATCATTATCCTTTAACTTCCTCTTACCTATTCTTAGCGGCTGCGGCCCTATCTCGTTGTCTCCTATTCTTGAACCAATTCCCCACTTGCGTCGGAGTCAGGCCCGTAGCTTGAGCCAACTCCCTTTTCTTCGTGGGATTCGGATATGGATCCTGCAAGTACCACTCCCTCAACAAACTCCTAGTCCGTTCCTTAAAACAATGAGTCTTTTGTTCTCCGTCCCAAATAGTCCTCGGCAAAGGAAACTTTTTACGCACTCGGTACTTGTCCACAGGTCCCAACGCCCTGCCGCGCAACTTTTCCGCCTCCTGGTAGTGGGCTTCCAACCACATGGCTTGTAGCTTTCCATGGGATCCTTTGGTGAATTTATGAGACTCCAGGATGGAGTATAATTCCCGAAAGTTCCCGCTATGGAAAGAGACGATTGCCCTTGCTCTTAGCACCGCTTCGTTCTTGTTGAGCTCCCCAATATTCGGATGGGCTACGGGCAAGGACCACAGAAACCTCGCCAGACGTTCTATATCACCGCTTTCCTCCAGAGTTTCACACACAGCAGCCACTTGGTTGACCGTAAAGTTCAAAGTGGGTAACGCGAACATCGGGTTGGGGATCAGGGGAGCTGGGGCAACGGGAATAGGCACACTGATTCCGGGCGACGACGAGGTCTCGGATGGGGCCCCTCCGGATCCGGTCCCCAGCCCGGCGCTCAACCCCAGAGCCATGTGGGTTGCCAGGGTTGCGAACTTTCCACTCACACCGTCGGTCGTTGTAGTGTATCACCACATCTCGCGATGTTGAATGCCGCCGTGTCTGTCTTAGGCCCCTGTCAGAAGTGGGCCTTACGCTTCGCCGCGCCCCGATTGGCTGACGCCGAGCGGTTTCTAGGACGACGATTGTCGCTCCACCTATGGGCGCCCGAGGAGTGGGGATGCCGACAGGCCTAGGGGCGGGGCGAGTGTCATCGCAAACTGTGGCCTCTGGTTGAAAGCCTGTATACCGTATACCTAACTAAAGCTGATGGATAAAGTGGTGGCTTTTTCTTGTGACACTGTCGCTTTGTGATAAGTCGCAGATACGCCTCTTATAATCATAATTTGTTATAAGCTGTACAACTATCCAATGACGAAGTTTGATGGAGTCGATGGAACATGCTGTACAAGTATTGCTTGATCTTTATAATATGCAACTTGTAACTGCGCCTCCAAAAATTGTACACACACAGAAATACAAAGTTGATGTAAATTAACTGTAGGTACCAAACTTTTTGAAATATCCAATTTAAATATGCTGACTCTTCTTTTTCCTCTAATAATGTTCCTCATACCTACTGGAATTATTCTGTCCTGGAACAGTATCTTGTACCCTGGGCTTGTCAGAATCGGGTGTATCTTTGAGCAATGCAAGTAGATCTGAATAAAATACCATTGAAGGTTAAATATGTATGTATTTCATATAGCCTGTTTGCTACATCACTGGAATTTTATTTTTGTGATTGTCATCATTTGCCACTGTTCAGTCAGTATTCAATCGCAAATCCATGGCGTCAGCTTTATGAGATTTTGTCAAATAGAAATAATGATTACAATATTCAAGAAGACACTTTATCGAGTTTCGTGTGACATTTTAGCTATCTCACATGCAACATTAACCATTCGACATTTGAGAACCCCCTCCCAGGCCTAACTAAGCTCCTCTTAGACTTGACAGCTTTTAACTTTTATGTTTGTACAGTCTTATGCCTACCTGTAATTTACAAATTGCAGTGTAACGCATATCAGCCACAAAAAGCAAATTCACATTTTGTTTCTTTAAGGTTGGCTCCCTCAAATATGCTTTCAAGTACCTGGATGCATAAATCCCTTCTTAGGAAATTCATTCACCTCTTTATCCTTCCAAAATAGAGTCTAGTATACAACATCAGGATGGTTTATATCTGCAAAAAAGATACTTCAATTCAATAAAAAATTAGAATTGTACACCTTGGTGTGGGCTGCAACCTTATAATAATAATTTTTAGAACTATAGTCTCAAATTTTTAGGCTAAGGTTCCCACTAATATAAAAAAATATCAGTGACGTTTAATCTCAATTTCAGAGCATTTGCACATTATACATAGGTACTTGTAGCCTAACACTACATAATAGAGTTTGAATAATGACTACCTGATCATTTCAAGGCCTACCTAGAACATTTTGATTTTTTTGTTTGGAAATGTCAATGCATGACATATCAGAATTAAAATCTCCACCGGGGTCGGTGTGTGTGCAAGAAGCCTTAGGTACACCGCATCACTGGAGCTGGTTGACAGTTACCAATAGATGGCTTGCAGAGTAGTACAGTGTTGGTATTACTGAGTCGGTAAAAAGGGTCAAAAGTTGCCAGGATTCGCTTCTCCATGACTACTACTTTTATTTATTTATTTAGCAACATCCAACAGTCAAAGCCAATTACAGTTTTAAGCCCTACTGAGCGAGGGCCGTGGCAAATGCTTGTTCCGGAAGTTGTTGTATCCAGTATACAACTTCTTCCCGTCCAAGTGATTGTGCACGCGTTAAGGAATACCTCAGTACCGATTGCCGGGTGGCGGTACAAGTCCGCCAACGGGCCACTTTAGGTCTATTTAACATCACTAACACGTAAAAAGAAGGTGGTAGACAAGGACCAGTCGACCGAGGCAGTACCACCCGCTAGCTTTACCTCTTATAAATGTCCGCATGTTTCCACACCTAAGCTATGCAGTCGGTTATCTACCAAAACAAAGAAACTAATGATGATGGATCCCTCGAGCACTAAAAACTCCGGATGTAAACTCACTCCACTCTCGGAATGTCCGGGTGGAGGGTGGGCTCGAGGGAACAACATCGAAGATAAAATTTGTTTTTCGAACATCTGCGGGATCAACAGCAACATTGATGCTGTTCATCACTACCTGCAATCCAATCGTCCCGCCGTGCTTTTCTTGGCGGAGACAAAAATCTCAGAGACTGCACCGATTAACCATCTCAACTTCCCAAACTACGAGGTGCACTCCAATCTGAGAAAGAACGGGGGAGTTGTGGCTTTTGTCCACAGCAGTCTTTCCTGCTCCAGGGATCTTTCTTTGGAATCAGACCGGAAGGACATTCTGTGGCTTCGCCTCAACTCCAAAACATCACCCAAATTTATTTGCTGCCTTTATCGCTCTCCCTCGAACCATAACTGGGATGACCTACTCGAATACCTCACCGTCCAGATCGACTTCCTGAACATCAATCACCCCGCTTCAGAGGTAGTTCTTCTCGGTGATTTTAATGCCCATAATGAGCTTTGGTTGGGCTCAAATAAGACCGATGCAGCAGGTCGTGCAGTCGAAGCGTTCGCTCTTACTCAAGGGCTGACCCAGCTGGTGACGAGCCCTACTTTTTTTCCCCGCGTCTCGTCACACGCCAGTAGCCTGCTGGATCTCTTTCTGACCACTCATCCTGCCCCTTACAGCACTGCTGTCCTGTCCCCCCTGGGTAACTCAGATCACGGTGTTGTGGAGGTTAGGTTTCGGTCAGAAGCCGCTGTGGCAGCAGAAACTCGCACAGGCCGCAAAACTTGGCATTACGGACATGCCGACTGGGAGGGGCTCAGAGACTTCTTCTCTAGCTTTCCTTGGAGAGATGTCTGTTTCAATGACGCGGATGCGTCGACTGTCTGTTCTTCAATACCCGAAATTATCCACGTCGGAATGGAGGAATACATCCCTCACACAGTGAAAGTTCCTAAACCAGGGTCCAACGGCTGGTTCAACAAATCGTGTGACACTGCTCGCCAGCAGAAGATCAAGGCCCACAGAACCTACTTACAAAACCCCACTGTAGAGAACAGACAAGCCGACGTCGAGTCCAGAAACAAATATAACGAAGCGGTTCGCAATGCCAAAACCCAGCATGATATAAAAGTTATGCACAGGGTAATGTCGCAGAGCAATGGCAGTCGGTCTTTCTGGACGCTGGCCAAGCAGATTGAAAAGAACTTCTCACACAGTAGCCTTCGACCTCTTACGTGTCAGGATGGAACTATTATATTCGACTCAAGGCGGAAGTGCTAGCCAAGATCTTTGCTGCCAACTCCACCATGGACGTCCCCACCAACGCCCAAGTGCCGTCAATTCAAAGGGTTCCCCACACTATGCGGGAGGTAATATTCAGGCATACTATAAGACCGTAAGACGAGTGCTCTTGTCGCTCGACATCAACAAAGCTTCTGGTCCGGACTTGATTCCTGCCATTGTACTGAAGAGATGTGCAGCTGAGCTTGCTCCAGTTCTTTCGCGTCTCTTCCAGATATCTTATGGATCCGGCACCTTCCCAGAAAACTGGAAATTTGCTCATGTACAGCCCATCCCAAAAAAAGGATCTAAAACCGACCCTTACAACTACAGGCCTATAGCTCTGCTTTCTGTTATAAGTAAAGTGATGGAGAGGTGCATAAATCGCGAGCTTCTGGACTACCTCGAACGTCACAGCTTGATTAGCGACAGGCAGTATGGTTTCCGGCACCAACGATCCACAGGGGACCTCTTAGCTTACGTCACGCAACTGTGGAGTAAACTCATCCAGTCTCATGGTGAGGCTCATGTCGTTGCTCTTGACATCACGAAAGCGTTCGATCAGCTGTGGCACGCTGCCCTCTTGAGCAAACTTCCATCCTACGGCCTCCCAGAAAAGCTTTGCTGATGGGTGGCTGACTTTATCTCTGGCCGCAAGATATCCGTCGTAATTGACGGATTCTCCTCTTCATCCCACAACGTCAACGCGGGTGTTCCCCAGGGATCGGTCTTGGCTCCAACACTGTTTCTCTTACATATCAACGACCTCCTTTCCTGCACGATCAACCCAATCCACAGCTTCGCTGATGACAGCACTCTACATGCAGGAATTCAGAGTGACAAGCCGATCTCTGCCGCTGAGCTGGAAAAAAGAAGACTAGCGACTACTTCTTCTCTGACAAGAGACCTGGAGGCTATCACTGCTTGGGGACGCAACAATCTTGTACAGTTCAGTGCTTCCAAAACACAGTACTGTACTTTGACGAACAAAAAGCGTCCTAGCGCTCATACAGTTTCGATGGACGGTCGAGTTCTACCAAAGAGCCATTCATTTCGGCTGGTCGGAGTCCAGATCACCGAGAACCTGATCTGGCACGAACACATCTCTTCAATAGCTGCACCTGCTGGGAAAAAGCTAGGCTATTTGTTTAGGGCTAAGAAGTACTTTTCTCCGCATGACCTTCTCACTCTATACAAGGCCCAGATAAGGCCCAGCCTCGAGTATTGCTCACACATTTGGGGTGCTGCCGCCCCGACTACTGCTCGATGCTGTCCAGAGGAGGGCGGTCCGACTGATCGATGACTCTTCTCTAACAGACAGTCTCGGGACTCTTTCGCACCGGCGGGCGGTTGGCGATCTAGCTCTTTTCTATCGCTACACCAACGGGCTTTGCTCCTCAGAGCTCTCTTCCATGATGCCGCCGCGCGATGTGCCTGCCAGACAGACCCGCCTGGCGTCCCATCCTAACCGTGTCAAACTTCGTACATCCAGAACTGGCCGATACGACCGCTCCTTTGTCCCGAGGGTGTCTAGATTGTGGAACAATCTACGGGAGGAAGCTTTTCCCTGTTCTACTAACCTTAGGTAGTTCAAAAATCGTATTAACAAAATTTCTTTGGGATCATCATAGCAGCCGCGGTGTTCCGGCATTTAGGCTTCTGCCTGCGCGGCTGTTTCGATATAAAAAAAAAAAAACAAAATCTGCGCAAAATGCAACATGGCGTCCATAAGGGAAAA